AACTTGCCACATGGTGGCGCATGCCTTTAATCCCAGCACTCGGGAGGCAGAGGCAGGCGGATCTCTGTGAGTTCGAGGCTGGCCTGGTCTACAAAGCAAGTTCCAGGAAAGGCACAAAGCTACACAGAGAAACCCTGTCTCGAAAAACAAAAAAAAAAAAAAAAAAAAAAAAAAAAACTTGCCACAGAGTTTGGACATTTTCTTCAAAGTGGTCTGCAAACAAGGGGAGTGAAACATGATATGGTCAGAAGTTACCGGGTGGAGAAGCCTGGAGGAGCCTGGAGGAAAAGGCTGCAGAAAGTTAGGTGATCCATGCTGGCGAAGGGTAGAAGCCCCTCACTGTTGGTTTTATGAAATGTGAGCAGGCAGAGCTAGCCACAGGTACAACCCCATCTCAGGACAGAAGACCGTGGCTTTCTGCAAGCAAGCACCTGCCTACTAAGATGCTTCTCAAGGCGGTGAACTGCCTCTCCCCGCCACATACCCACACTAGTCTGCAAAGGTAACATGAAAGGTTTCATAGTAATCTAGGACAGCATTGTCTCAATGTATTATCTACCAGCTCTGCGGTTCCCAACAAGGACGCTCTGAGGTGGTCTCTCACATGTGCCCATTCCCGAAACACCCGGGCTCTCACACCCTCCCGCAAAAGCAGGTTCCTTCCAAAGGCTGGGAGGCTCCGTGCTCATTAGTCAGAAAGCTCTTGTCATTGTCTCACAGATATGGCAGCTGCTAAGGTTTCACTTTCAAAATGACAAGCCCAGGGCACAAGTTTCACTATTGCTCATGATTCACTGTGGCCATTTCCTTAAAAGGAGACATTTCCAGATTTTGTCAGATATTTCCCCAGTCTCAGCATCATATTTCCCCAGGTGGTTCAACAGATCATGGGGGGTGGGGGGAAATCAAGTACTATCAAGTTTTGAATGAAAATTCACAAAACAGAGTCCATTCATTGCGTTATTAACCATTTAACACACAGTAAGTGTGTGTGACATCAGGGTATGAAGATTCATTTGCCTAAATTCTCATTTTCATCCCTAGTTCTCCTATTTTGGTTAAAAGTCAATTAAAACTAGCACATAGAAAATAATGTAATTATACCTTCATTCTTTTGACATCTGACTATATTTGTTTCTAAAAATTCCCGCAAGGCAAAATGACCACCACACACTTGCAGTAAAATCAAAAGAAGAAACAAGAATGCTTTTATTCCAAGAAGTTCAGGGTCCATTTGAAGAATGCAACATAAAATTAATCCACAACTTAAAAGCTGTTCTGTTTCACAGCCTCCTTAAGTCATTCTGCCTTGGGCTTTCGTTTCAGAAGCAGAGAAAGCTGAGTTCTCAATATTGAACATTTTGTTCAACTTTAAAACCTTTAAAATTTTACAAAAAAGTTAAATGTTAGAATACTTTTTATCCAACATTATTTTAAAATTGATAACGTGTTCATTGTTTTTATAATTTTGCAAAATTTAATAGGTGAAATTTAGGCTTAGGATTGAGAGTTTAGTATAGAATCACAATTTTATGTTTTAGGTGATTTTCCTTTTTTCCTTTCAACCAAGCAAAGTTTACATTACTTGGAAAGTAAGTTATTCATGAAGTTCTTAAGAACTTCAAACATTTTCACTGAAAAAAATTACTCCAAAAATAACTTGAAATATTTATACATTGAGGACTATACTAAGGAATTAGCTTTAAAGCCAAACCATGGTTCAGTGTGGAAAATACCTATTATCTTAAAATATGAAGCCTCCTTCTTGTTACCCCTTGCATAATAAAATAAGGAGGAAAAGAAAAGAATTGTGGAAACTCTATAAAATCCACATGTACACAGCCAGGAGGAATATGTTCAACATGAAAAAAATCACCTCCTCTGAGTGTCCCACCCATTCCAATCTCCACTGCACAGGAGAATGAAGCTTCTTTTGAATCCAGTAGAGTGAAAGTTCTTCCAACAAAATAAAGTAACTCAACCAGTACTCACTGTGGAGAATCACCTAGAAACCAGTGTTTCCCCCACGAGAAAATGACATTTCAAATTCCAGCACAGATCATAACATTCAAAACATGTTATATTGTGTCTCCTAGTAACATCTGAAGCTACACTCATAAAGTATTACTAATAACACTGCCTAAACATGAGCTGAGCAAGGACAACACAATAGACATGATAAAGTGGATAATGGGGAAAGACCACGAGGCCTTAACCCTACACAAAGAACTGCAGGCAATTACGGAATGCCAAGAGTGGGACAAATAGGCTTCCCTAGGGAAGACACACCAAATATCAGATCATCAGCCCTGAAAATATACATACAAGAAACATTATAGACTGAGCATGTTCTATTTAAAGAATACATATGTATATAGTTGTATATACATATATATGTATCTAACAGGAACTAATAAAAAATGAGGCCATTAATTTGGAAGAGAAAGGGAAGTGGCTTGGATAAAGGAAAGGGGGAAATGATGTAATTGTGTTACAATCTCAAAAATAAAATAAAGTAAAACAAATGAATAAGTTAAACAATCTCCATTAAGCAAAGAAACTTTAATTCTCCTGTAATCCCTTATTCCACCTTACAGAATCACCATCCAGTTTCTAACCTTCCATTAAAATTCACAACGAATAAAAGGAATTCAAAGTGCCCATGATATTCGTTGGACCAATTTTAGAAACACCTATTTATTTACACAGCTATGGTAGTGAAAAGGTCAACCAAAAATTCCCCTCCAAAGCTACAGTTGCTAAGCAACCTTCCTCAGAAGTTCTGCAATACTGCTCAAGCATATTCCGGGTGTCACCAGCTGGATTCAAAATAAATATGAATAACATCTTACCTCATTACTCCAAATGGGAAGGGAGGGAGATTCCTTGCTTACCTTTTGTAGACAGGCACTAAAGGCTGATTCTGTATTAATTTGGCTGGTTGGATTCATGTGCTTATTTTACAAGAAAAGGATACGGCCAGGTACAACGGGTTTCCTATTGACCAGGGCGAAGGACAGTTCAGTTTTGAGAAATACCACGGAGGGTTTGATGAGATGTTGGCCAAATCTAAATGACATGGTCTCACGGTGAATCTGAAAGAGAAAATAATTGAGGAAATGAGCATTCAAAAGAGAAAACAACTTGGTTCATGGGCCACTTTAAAGAAGGCAAATTCCATAGTAATGATTCTTGAATGCAGAGAGAATACCATTGAAACTGGTCCTGTTAGTCTCCCCTCGGACGAACTCCAGGTAAATTCTGCTGGAATATTCTCATCTCCCTACATTGCTACCTTGGTTCCAGCGAAGGTTGCAAAGCAGAAGCTGGAACATGGATGACAAAGCAACCTTCCATGCCTAAATTCCCTGGCCCTCCAGGTTGTCACCTCAAATCCACAAGGTCCTATTTATTGAATACTTACTTTAACCCATTGATCTCATCATTGATGCTAATATGGAAATATTCATTGTTAAGTGCTGAGTACAAACATAATTCTTAAAAGCTTCTTTCAAATGCTTTTATCTTTGTTTGTACAACAGCAATTTAGCACAAGTACAAACACTGTCTGACCTCTCTTACAATTACAAAACACACGTTCCCTGAGAACTATTACAATTCAGTTGCCATAATTAGAGCGAAAAGGAAGGAATGAACAAAACAGAGTTTCAGATGAGACTAGTTCCTGGCTGACCCAGAGACAAACCAGGTAATGAATGTTAATTTCTCCATGTCCTCCTTCTGGGGGAGGCTCCGGGACAGTGTTACAATTTGACATAAAATATCCCCCACAAGCTTATATACTGAGCACTTGGTGCTGATATTTTGTGAGGTTCTTGAAAATTTAGAGGAAGGGGATTGGTTGGCAGAAGTAGATGATGGGGGGGGGGGTGTGGGAGTGGGTTGAAGGTTCTGCCTGCCTCTGGTGGCTGAGTCTTTCCTTTTGGTATTTGTCATGAGATGAATAGCCTGCTTCTACCACCATGATTTTTTGTTAACTAGAAGTCTGAAACTTTGAACCAAAATAAATCCTTCCTACTCTAAGTTGTTTATAACAAATCTTTTGTTATAGCAGTGTTAAAGAGAATGAATATGAGGGAGAATAAAATTAAATTGAGCACTTGGCAGCCAGGGTGGACAAAACCCACCCATGCCCCAGGAATAATCTTGAATAGGTGATGCGTACATATGAGTGACTCCTGAGTAACTAAGGCCCTTACATTTTTGTAAGTCAGGAGCAGCTGATGGCCAGAGACCAACCTATAAGAAAAACAGAGATGAAGGGTGAATGAAGAATCAGAAAAAAAAAAGACGAAGTTAAAAAAATGAAAACTATTGGTAAGTAGACCAAATAACTGCATGATGATTTAATGAGCCAAATGTTTAAAATAAGAGCTATATAAAAGTCCTCTACAGTAGTAGACTGAACTTCATGCATTCTGTGCTCAGGACTCAGGTGGGAGGACTCATGTCAAGAAAAGATACTTGTTTATAAAATACTTAAACCAGTTCATAAAAAATAAGGGTCAATAAGGCTATCAAACATCATCTAGCAAAGTGGTTTTTCAGACATGTTCTCTGGGAAGCTATCAAAGCTACAAATGTATATTTCCTATAGCTCCCGACATGTTACCATGAATTTTCCATGGTTGATGCTTCACCATGTTTTAGGGTAGGGCTCTTCTTCCTGTTGAATCCAGGTCTTGGGAATTCACCCAAGTTCCTGCAGTCCCCTAGCACACTACTACTTTGGGAGTGGACATGAACACAAGGTGAGATAATCAAAGGCAATCAAATCCCCCAGCTGATCACAACCCATGCCATGAAAAGTCCTTTCTTAAAGCTGACTTGTCAGTCTGTCAGTCTGTCAGTCTGTCAGAGTGACACCACAGCAAGCAGAGCCGAGACACAAGCCCACACCCAACAATGCCGGAAAGAGCAGCCTCCCTGGCATCTGTTCCCACTTAAGGGTGATTGGACAAACCTGACTTAAGCATGGGCGCTAGCTGACGAGCTGATGCTACACTGAGTCCTTGATTGGTACTTCTTTGGTATTATTTGTCCTTTTTTTCCCCTTTTATCTTCAAACCATCTTATCTCCTCATAACTCAAGGATATGCTGCAGCACGGTTAATATAGTCTTCATGTTCTTTATAGATTTGTGTACATGTCTCCCATTTGTCAAAATATGGAGGGCTCTCAAAAACATTTAATTTTAACTTTATATGAATTATTTGTTTTCAATCTCATCTGTTTCTTAATTCTGGTTTATGCACTCACAGCAATGTATCATGGCTTTTGTGTACAGTTTGCCCCTGCTCAAGAGTTTCTCCAGCTACAATATTTCATCATGAATAATGCTGTGATTTCTATTCTAATGTGCAACATACAGCCTTAGAGCAGGGTTTTAGGTCACAACCTTACCCAGCTTTTCTACGAGACAGGTGCCAGTTTGCATTTCCAAGAGGAACACACATTCATTAAAAATGGTGTCTCTTCCTTTGAACTCACTTGTCTGTCACAGTGTCATATATACCTTGCCTTCCACAAGTTACTGATTTATATACTTCATCCTCCTTTTTACAAGTCACCTCCCTTTTGTTTCCTGGTTTTCCAGGGTGCACAAAACTGTCTAAGTATTCAACATAATTACATTTTTACCATCTTTTAATTTTTCTATTGTTCCCCCAAGGAACAAAACCCACTCATTTTGTTATAATCAAAATCATTATTTTTTTTTATATTTTTCTCCAAGATTATTCAACATATCTTGCTCCATCATAAGGTCTCAAATGTGTATTTCAGCATTTTCCTCTATTAACTGAATATCTTCATTTTTAATACTTAGGTGTATGTCCCATGTAAAGCTTTGCTCAAAATATGAAGTATGGGGTTTGAAGAGATGACTAAGTGGTTAAGAGCACTGGCTGCTCTTCCAGATGACCGAGGTTCAATTTCCAGCACCAACATCTGTAACTGTCTGTAACTCCCATTCCAGGGAATCTGGCAGCTTTACAGACACCCATGCAGGCAAAATACCAATATCCATAAAATAAAAATAAATACATATTTAAAAAATTGAACAATGAAGTATCAAAGGTTTCATTTTTCCTCTGTTCCTGGGTCAATTTTCTTATTCCAGTTCCTGATAACACGCCCATATAGACATGGCAGTGTTTCTGAACTCCATCTGAGCCTATGCCTGATGCTCTAGAACAGCGGCTGCTAAATTATTTTCTATAAGGGACAGTTGCAATGGGCTACACAACCTCGTATAACTACTCACTTCTGACACGTAGCATGCATGCCACCACAGCAGTGTCTGTGTTCTAATAAAACTTTATTTATAGCAAACGCACAGCCTGGACTTAGCACACAATCTGTAGTTTGTCAACTCCATATATATTACTACCCCTTCAAAATTTTTCTGGGTAGAAGTTGATTGGATTGAATTTCAATGTTGATGGAGGGGAGATAGGACATCTTCGCAGTATTTAATGAATCCATTTGTGAACAGTGCTTTTGTGTTGACTAATACCATAATAAGACTCTGGTGATACTTTTTAATTTCCCTTTTATGTTTTATGTATTCTGTCTTAGAGCTGTTCTAGCCAGCATTTGGGTTGTATCCTATTATTGCCATAGTTGTTGGTAACTACTGATTTTTATGTTTGTGCAGCAACCAGTCTAAAATCCCCCATGGCTGCCATGGTCTCCACAGAGTTTCTCTGGTTTTCCATATAAGAATTTACTTAGAAATAATACAATTATTATCATTTTAATTTATCTATTTTTCTCTTGTGAGATCTTTGACAATGTGTTCGAAAGCAGAAGCAACCAAGTTACCCTTGTCTTATTCTTAAAATTACAGTGAATGAGTGTAAACTTTGTTTTTCTATTAAAGACAACATCCACTATAAGTTTTAGTTAAAAAAAAAAAAGAAACTTGTATACTAAGGAGGGAGGGGAAAAAAAATCTAAGTTTCCTAAAGATTAACTCTATATTTAAATAAACAAAGCTCTACTAATATATTTTTATATATAATTTTGTATTATTTGCCGTCAATGTGACACCCCTCATTGGAAGATGTCTTAATATGTAATTATCCCATTACTGTCACGACCGCGTTAGCAGCTCACATTGTTTTATTCTTTAGTGCACTGTCATATTGGACTTCTGGGTGTTGCAGATGAAGCTGGCCAAATGTCTTTAAACTAAACTTACCAGATATTCATTATCAATATCTTTGTAAATACACTGGCTTTTTAGACTTGTTTTAAAATTTTTTTTTACACCTACCTTCTGTTCCTTTAGCAATGATTCTGAACATGTGAGTCATGACCCCTTTGGGGGCTGAAGGACAAGGGTCATTTATCATATATCTTCCATATAGAAAATGTACATTATGATTCATAACAATATGAAGTAGCAATTAAATTTTATGATTGGGGGTCACCACAACATGAGGAGCTATATTAAAGAGTTGCAGCATTAGGAAGGTTGATAACCACTGCTTTAGAGTTAAACAAAACTCATTTGTCAAGTGGTGCCTCTTTTCCTATCATAGGGGGATATTTTGACAATCATGGTAAATTGTTTAAAGTTTCTTGATTTACCTAAGTGATTTTTTTTCTTGTATTAATTTCTAAGCCTTTTCATACCAATTTTAATTTTATTAAAAAAAATTTAATGGGTTCAGAATATAATTAATAATCACTTTTATTATTTATTTTGAAATTTATAAAAATGTGAATATTTTAACCCATCTGTAGCCTATTTCATTTTTATATTTTTTAAATTTTTACTAATTAATAAATTAATTTTTCCCAGCCTGATCACAGTTTCCTCTTCCTCCCTCCTTTCCTCCCAGTCTTTCCCCCAATCTCCACACACCATCCACTCCCTCTCCCTTCCCATCAGAAAAGTGCAGTCCTTCCATGTATATCAGCCAGCCATGGAATATCAAGTTGCAATATGACTAGGCACCTCCTCTCCTATTAAGGTTGAATGAGGCTACCCAGCAGGAGGAAAGGGTCCCAAGATGAGGCAACAGAGTCATAGACATATCCCTTCCCTCTGCCAGGAGTCCCACAA